ACCGACAGACACACCGACGGCCGGCCCGCCCCCCGCGAGCGCGATGCTGCGGTAGGTGTGTCGGAGCACGGACGTGGGGATGGTGGGGATGAGGGGCTGGTGGGTACGAGGTACCCCCGCTCGATGGGGTCTGGCACCCCCGCAGGGTCACGGATCCGTTAGAGGGACACGGTGCCCGCCACCGGCTGGCGGAGCGCCTCGCCAGGGGACCGGCAAAAAAACGAGATCCCGCTTCAGCGTGGGTTCCTCCATGGCAAACAGCGGGGCCCGAGGGCGCGGGGTCTCTTCGGGGCGCGGAGCAGAGGAGAACCTCGAGGCGGGCCGCTTCTCCCGGGAGGAGCAGTACGGCGGGGCCGGGATGCCCCGACAGGGCCGCGCCGGTGGGGAACAGCCGGGATGCCCCGACAGCCGCGGGCAGAGCGAAGGCGCCGGTAACTTCGCGGTGGTTCCGTTACCGGCGCTCGCAGCGCACGTCCGGGGCCGAGGAGCACCGGCCGCCGGGGTGTACCTTCCTTTTTTTTTTTTTCTTTTTGGCAAATAAAAATTAATTCGCTTTTACCTTCCAGGGGCCGGTCGGTACCGGGGCCGTGCGGAGGGACGAGGTTTCTCTTTCCTTCGCTCCCGTCGGGAGCCACCGCTCTGGGGAGGTGTTACCGCCGGGCCCCGGCCCCTCCCGGCCCCGGAACCCGCCCCTGTCCCGGTCCCGGCGGGCTGAACCCGGGCGGGGATGAGAAGGGGAACGGAGGATTGAAGGGGCCGAGCGTTCCCGGGGTTCCACACGCGGCCGAGAGCCGGGGCTGGGACCGGGGGTGGCCGGGGCCCGCCCGGACCCCGCAGCATCCCCCGCCCGTACCCACCGCTCTCGCTCTCTTTCACGTCTGTTTTGCTCTTCCTTGAAAGAAAAAAAAAAAGAAAAAAAAAAGCGGGAGAGGGATAAATTGGAAGATAGACAGGGAAAGCAGAAAATCCTCTACGCGCCCTGCCCGCCGCTCCGCACGGGGGGTAGCCAGGACGGGCGGGGATGCAGAGCCTGCCCGGGCCGGGAGAGCCAATTCCAGGGCTGTCCTCGGGCTGAGACATCCCCTCGGATCTCCTGCGGGTGTTTAAAATCCCCGGGGCTGCGTCCGCGCTATCATCCTTGCCCCCGTCGGGGCGCGCACCGGGCGCGCCGCGCTCCCCCCGCGCAGCTGTCGGTTCGCTGGCGGGGATCAATAGARCCCTGGGCTCGCCCCTCCCGGTGCTCCCGCACATGGGCCGCTTCTCATGCGGAGCCGCGGGGCCGGAGCGGGCTGATGGCCCCGCTCCGCCGCCCGGGAAGGCGACAGCTGCGGGCTGCCGTCAGGGGAGCGCGCCCCTCGAGCGCGGCCCCCGGTGACATGTGTCGGTGGGGATGAATGAGGGGAAGGAGATGAGCATCTCGTGTCCATCAAGCACCAGTTTTTCACAGCGATTTTTTTTTTCTCCTTTTCCCAGGCGTTAGCGAAAGCATCTGGTTCTCCCCCGCTCCCCCGGGGAGCGCAGACCGCGCCCACGCCCCTCCCCGCGGGGGCCCGCGGTTCCCCCGCACCGCTGCGCTTCCCCGCGGGGCTCTCGGAACCGGGAGCGGGGCAGGGCCGGGCCCCTTCCCGGAGAGAAGCGGCGGGGCTCGGGACTGTGCCGGTGCCCGTGCCCAGGGAGAAGCGGTAGCGGGCTCGGTGCCGCGCTCCACCGCGTCGGGCCGGGCGTTGTGCCCGTGAGCGGCCGGGGCTCCGCGGCCACCCCGGCCCCGAGCCGCTCCTTGTCCTTATCGCCGGTGTGCGGCGGCGGGGCCCGGCCGGGCAGCGGCACCGGTGGCCGCTCCGAGCCCGGGATTGATGCCGGCGCCGCAGCGGGCCGGGATGAGCGGGGAAAGCGGCGGAGAGCGAGCGTCCGTGCCCGCCGCCCTCTCCATCCATTCATCCTCCCACCGGCGAAGGGTCACTGCCCTCGGGGCGGCCTGGCTCGGTTGGACGGGATGCGCTGGGCCCGCGGAGCGCCCGCACCGGGCCTTTCTCGCCCGGCGGCACCGGGGACAGCGACGGGCTCCGGCCCGGGCAGCGCCGCGTTCACAGCCGCGGAAAGCCTCGGAGGAATCACCCTCGCTCCGCAGCACCGGGCCCGGGCCGGTACCCGTGCCCCAAAACCCCGCCCCGGGTCCGGCCCGCACCGTCCCGCCGGTCGATAGTTTGGAGGGAACTTCGGGCAACTCGAGCCCGGCCGGGGGACGCGGAGAGCGGCGGCATCAACGGGCCCGTCCCCGTCCCTGTCCCCGATTCCCACCCGCTATCCTCCCACCCTGAAATCACCGGGACAAACCACCGCGATCTGAGATGTTCGCGTGTCACGGGGAAGGAAGAGGCGCTTGTGGGTCCCGCTGACAACGGGGAAAACAACAAAAATAAAGGGGAAAAAAATGGAGACGAAAACGAATAGAGAGGAGCGGCGGGGCAGGTGGAGGCCGGTACTCACCGAAAGAAGTCGTTTTTGCAGTAAAGCTTGCCTTCCCGTGAAAAGCATTTCTCTGTCAAATTGCATTTACATTCACAGCACTGAACACACTTCACATGCCAAGCCCTGTCCAGTACATTCAACAAAAACCGGTCCAAGATCGGCCTTTTGCAGCCTGCACAGTGAACCATTGTCTTTGGTTAGTTCTGAGGGGGGCAGCGGTTTCCCAGGTGTCAAGGAAAAAAAAAAATAAAAACAAATTTTTTTTTTTTTTTTTNTCCCCCGCTCCCCCGGGGAGCGCAGACCGCGCCCACGCCCCTCCCCGCGGGGGCCCGCGGTTCCCCCGCACCGCTGCGCTTCCCCGCGGGGCTCTGCCCGCCCGCCCGGCCCACGCCAACCCCCCAAAACCCCGCTCGGGAGAGGAGGCAGCGCAAACCGAGCGGGCCGTGGGGACAGCGGGGTGCCCCGTCCGCATCACCCCCCACAACCGAGACCCCGACCTAGAGCAGGCGCTTGGGAGGCGACAATGCGACAATGCCCGCGTTTGTCACCGGCAGGATCCGAAAAYCACCCCCGGGTTAYCCCGGGMCTCCCCTGCTCCGCGGGACASSCGTGTCCCATCGTGGGGCACCCAGGGGAGCCCGAAAGTGGAGGAAAATCCCCCGAGGGAGCAGCACCGAGTGCCGCCCCCTTATAGGGCCGGGTGTTTGGGACGGGAGGGATTTTTTTGTTTTTCATTGTATTTTGTAATTCGCCCAAGGTCCGTTCTGGGGCCGAGCCCACGCGAATCCCGCGGGGAACGGGCCAAGATGTTCCAGAGCAACCCCAGCCGGCCCAAGTGCTGGAAAAGAGGAATATTAGAAGACAGAAAAGAGAAAAACTCAAAGATGTTTTTAAAAGGAAAAAGAAAAAAAACTAAAAAAAAAAAAATAGAAAAGATTTTAAAAATATTTTAAGAAAGAGAGTGCAAGTAAAATAGTAAAAGAGACCCTAAAAAAAGGAGGGAAAATAAAAAAAAATTGGAAAAAAAAAGTCAAACAAACCCAAACTTAAATTAATTTAAAAATTTATACCGAAGAAAAAGCCCAAGTCCCTTTCAGGCGAGTTTAAATTTGCATTTTATTGGTGTCGTTCCCGTCTTTTTAGTTAAACATCACCCTGTTTATCATTCCCCTTTC